TAACTTTGGACCCACCCAGCTCACACTCAGAAATAACAAGATACATACCAATACATCAAAGCATGGCATGATTGAGTTTCCAAAATGAATACTTCAAACTAGGTCTGATCACATTTTGAATCGGGATTGAACGTGGTTCAATCCCAGTTCAAATTTGATTCCTAAGTTAAACTAAGGGTTGAAAACGATGTTGGAAATGATTTTTGAATCATGCTTAAACATGACAATTGAATTAAGGTTGTTGCAGACTAGCTAATATACGCGGCGATATAATTAGAAAATTTCCGTCTCAGCGTTGTATGGATATCTAGCACACAAATAGGGAGAAATAATAACAACAGGATTTTTACGTGAAAACCCCTGGAAAAGGAAAAAAACCATGGGGTCACGCCTAATTGAAATAATTCCATCAGTGTTTATTTAAGATACAAGAGGCTGACTCGTCCTTAAAATTTAGGATGATCAGATTTTAATGCTTCACTTATGGATTGAAATCCGATTAGAAACAAGTTGTATATTCGAGCTGAATTTAGAGTCACTTAGAATTCCGACGTCACTTGAAAATCGGGCAGAGTTCCGGTGTCACTTGGGCGTCGGGTATAATTTTGGCGTCGATTAGAATTCTGGAGTCACTTGGGCGTCGACAAGAATTCCGGCGTCACTTGGGCGTCGGCCAGAATTCCGGCGTCACTTGGGTGTCGGCTAGAATTCCGACGTCACTTGGGCGTCGGCCAGAATTCTGGCGGTGGTCGAGGAGCAGTTTAATCCCTCCTTTATTTCTCTTCTTCTTCTCTTATTCTTATTCTTATTCTTCTTGCTTGGGTCCCACTCTCAATAGAAATGAGGGGTCTATTTATAGATTTCTAGAATGGCATGACCCGTAAATAGGTGAGAGATCAGAGGTAAATGTGGAGTGGTTCGATGGACGGCCGATATTGAATCCCTTGATCATATACCATTCGTCAGACATTTGAAGGTCTTAATGATGTTGGAATTTGGCGATCTTGGGCTTGTTGGATTTGTCTCGTCGAGCCGCTATATTCGACTATAAGCACATTATGTTTGGAAATTGTTTAGTAACTCAAATTATGGTTCAAACTTTTCAACAGCACATCGGGTCCTTTATTTGGACTCATTTGGGCTCAGATTGAGTCGAATTTGGTGTCGTTGGGTTCGTATTTCCGAGACGCTCAGTTTGACTGTAAGTTTGCTGAAATCAGAGTTCAGGTGATCCCAGATTTTATTTTTGAAATTTCCGGCTTGATTTTGCCTCAAGATTCGTGCTCAATCAAGATAATTTTTTGATGATATATCAAAGGTTTAAACCATGTTCAAATTCAATAACTTAGAATGACTTAATGTCCCTTGAATGAATTGCAAATACTAGAGGTTATGACTCATCCAGCGTAACTTTGTCCAAGTATATGTCTCCTAGTAAATAAACAACATAGATATTTCTTCAATTGTTGAATACTTCGAGTATGAGACATATATCATAATTCTTTTTCTTAAGAGAGAAATCTAGAAGGTCCAAAACTAATACAGATATAAATATATAACAAACGCATAAGATTTGTTATAAATATCAGATCAACATAAAATGAACAATCAATATAAAGTTACAATTATAAGGTGACGTAAAGCCAACTATGATTAATTATTAGTAAGTGATATTTTTGACATTTTGAGTCTAGTTTTTGAAAAATTCTTCTTTCATTTATAAATATAACTTTTTTAGTATTACATTTATAAATATTCATAATTATACTTTTTCGTTTTGAATCCCACTACTTCTAGCGGCTCTGAAGGCTAAGGCTTCGTTTGGGACGACTTTTTTACTGCTTTCTAAAACGGAGTTTTAGTACAATTTTTTTTATTTTTGTACTAAAACTCTTTTTTAGAAAGCAATAAAAAAACCGTCCCAAATAAAGCCTAAGTAGACCAGTAAGCTATCACCTGTCTTGATCAATCGTAGAAGACAAGATTAGGGACAGTTTGTATCTTTGTGAGAGAAAAGTAAGAGTACTATCGATATTTTTTACATCAAATCAGCACATAATTAACAAAAAAATTGAATGCATTCAAATGTATTATGTATTTAACTTTTTATTAATTATTTGTTGATTTGATGTTAAAGAATTAAAATTTATTTGGAATGACTGTAATTTTTTATTATATTGTGAAATTTTGTGGTAAAATAAACTTAGATATTTTGATTGTAAAAAATAAATTTTCACTTAAGAAATCTTTAAAAAATTGTGAAAAGCAGAAAAAAAAAAAATAGCAGACATGTTTGTAATTGATGAAAAATAAAGCAGGGAGAAAAGTGCCAACCCTTTAACAAATTATTACTCAAAAAGGTAGTATTTACTTGTGCATTAATGTACTTAGATTTTGAAATAATTGAAGTGCTTTTTTTTTTCAAATTGAATAATGTGTTTGGGGCTATTATTTTTTAGTGAACTGAATCCTCCTCTACATTATTCATGTAAATTTAGGTTTCATTTGGGATTAATTTTTTACTGTTTAAATCAATTTTTTAGAAAGTTGATTTAAAAAGTAGGAAAAAATTCGTCCCAACCGAAGCCTTATATTTGGGATCACCTTTGACAACTTTTTTTTGTTGTTTTAAAAAAAATTATAATAAAAAATTGATTTAGATAGCTATAAGAAAATTGTTCAAAATGAAGTTTTAATTAAAACCGGCTCTTATAAATTTGTTGTATTTTATGTTATATTTTTAATATTTTTTTCTTATTTGTTGTTTGGTGATTTATCACTCTTGTTGCGTAATTGAATATTCGCGGCAATATAGAAATATAAAGTTTAACGTCTTAACTTTGTACGAAGATCCAACACACAATCAAATAAAAGAGAGTGTGTAGTTCATAAGTGACTAGAGTTTTTTATGTGGAAACCCCTAAAAAGGAAAAAAAAAAAAAACTACGAGGTATAACCCAGTTTGAATGAATCCACTAGTATTTACAGTCGATTACAAATGAGGCCCTTCCTTGGGGGAAAATCTTGGATTGAGGGTGACGGAGGTTGGAAAGAGAAGAATCATATAGAGTGCATTATATGGTGGGAAATAGAAGAATCAATATTGACATGTTCGTTTTGTCAGCAAGACCATATTCGATGGGCGACGAAGGTTAGAAAGATCGTAATCTAGTGACGGGGGTCGGAAGGACCATAGTCGATGGGAGACTGAGAGTGGAAAGATCGTAGTCTGGCGATAGATGTCAGAAAGATTGTGGTATGGCGATGGAAGTCAAAAGGATCGTAGTCAACAAGTGGCAGAGGTTAGAATGATCGTTGTTTGGTGACGGAAGTAGGAATGACTGTAGTCGGTGGGCAACAGAGGTCGAAAAGACTGTAGTCAGTGACGGTGGTCGGAAGGACCGTAGTAGGCAGATGACAATGGTCAGAAAGATCATTGTCTAGCTACGAAAGTCGGAGCAACCAACAATAATCGGTGGCCTTATGTAAATCCGAGTTTAGTTGGTGGTCAGAAAAAAGTCTATAGTTTGTCGGTGGTCGGGTAGAAGTCTGTTGACCTCGATTTTGCCTAGGACCTTGGTCAAAAGGTTGACTTGGTCAAATTGACCAAGTCAGACCTCGAGACCCCCTCCAGTGGGTTCAGTGAGTCAAGTCGACTCTATCGAGCCCTGACTTGGACCCCGAGTCAACCCAGTTGACTGAGTCAACCCGGGTTGACCAGTTTGGACCCTTTAAGCCTAAAATCAATTTTAAATCCATCTCATAGATTCCATGGCTTAAAGTTACCTCTTAAACATCGAGACGTCTTTTGCTGTAATATTTAGAATTATATTAAGAAACTCCACAATTAAGACGTCTTTTGCTGTAATATTAGAATTATAGTAGAAACGTCACCGCCAGACTGTGACGCCCAACTGCAATCTCCCGACAATCTCAATCTACTGAATTGAGTTCTAAGTCAAAAGTAGAACCAAATTAATCAACACACTCAAATTCCACAATGAACTAACATGACAACCTCACGACTGTTATTATACAACCACTGTTATTATGCTATAGTCTTTTAACTACCATCGCTCGACTATGATCCACTATTTGCCAACTAAAACTCTCTAACCACTGTTGTCTGTTTACAATTTCGTTACTGTCATTGTCCAACTACGGCCTTCTGACCATCATCGTCCAACTAGAGTGCTTTAACGATCATTTCCTAGCTAAATTCCTCTAATCATAGTTGCCTGAGGAAGTTCCTTTGACATCCATCACCCGACTACTATCTTCCAACCACTATAACTTGATTACGATTTTTTTTTACCACCATCATCTTATTATAGCCCTCTGATCAGTATCACTTTACTATAGATCCCTGACCAATGTAGCCCACTTACGATCTTCTGACCATCGTTGTTACGTCATTGTCCACTTTCCATTATCACCCTCTAATCACTATCGCCTAAATGAATCTTCTAACCACAATTGCTTAATTATGATCTCTCGATCTCCATCATTTGATTATAGCCTTTGCCCATTTTCACTTTGCTAGAATCATTCAATCATTGTTACTCAATTATAATCCTCCTCGGATCATAGTTAGAAACCACGATCATTTGATTTTTATCGCCTGGCTATGATACATCTGATGACTTCATCGCCTATCATTGGCAATATCGCCAATGCACACAACATCAACATCAAGATTTATTTGGGCTTCTCGTCATAGATGATCACCCTGGTCAAGGAAGCAGGACTACTCAAATAACAAACAATCTCTTCAAAAGATCTCCCAAGTCACATGACTCTTAAATCTTCCACCACAAATTACATTTCCTAATCAAATAGAATAGCATCTTTTATAACCGATGATTACTATGTGAGTCACTTCGATTGCATAATGCCTCATATTTTTTCATATAACACATTAATTTTATTACTCTTCTCTTATATCATTTTGTCTTAAATATTATCATGACCTAAAAGTTGTCCCACACAAAATTGCTTGAATAGACAAAGCAGAGGACTTGGTAAGTACAGAGTCAATGCTCGGAGGAATTGAGAGATAAGATTCCAGTTTTCCTTTCTCCTTGGATCTTCACTATCTTACCCGCAGCTCAGCTCACAGGCCTCCAACCGACAACAGAGAGATGAACATATCGAGATCCACAACCCCGCAGAATGATCTGGAGGCTGCCGCCGGCGGCGGCGGCCGCCTCAACGATCCCCTTCTGTCCAAGAAGTCTGAAGAGAGCGAGGCCCAGAGGCTGCGATGGAAGTTCATAAGAAAAGTTTACACAATACTGTCGCTACAGATGCTGCTGACCATCGCCGTCTCAGCCGCCGTCGTATTTGCAACTCCGGTCTCTCTCTTCGCATACTCCCCTGCCGGCATAACCCTCTTCGTCTTCCTCATATTCTTAATCGTTATGGGTACTGCTTAATTCTAAACCCTAAACTAAAAAACCCTTTTTTTTTTCCGCTTAAGATCTCTTATATGCAATTCTTCAGTGATGATTCCACTACACTATTACCGCCACTACAAACCTTGCAATTTGATCCTCCTGGGTGTCTTCACTGTCTCAATAAGCTTCGCCGTCGGATTTGCCTGCGCCTTCATTGATGGTGAGCACCAAATTAATTAATTCTACAAGTTTTTTTTTTCTTTTCAAGAAAAGAAAAACAGACAACTTTATGTATTTATATATATGTCTTCTTGAATTAATCAATGCAGGAAAGGTTATTCTGGAATCTGCAATATTAACTACAGTGGTGCTTGTGAGCCTCACCATTTACACCTTCCTGGCAGCGGACAGGGTTCAAGATTTCACCTTTCTTGGCCCCTATTTGTTTTCTGCGTCGCTGATAATCATGTTCTTCATTGTAATCCAGGTATCTATAAACTTTACTCTTCATTTGTAAATGTTTCTCTGTGGATTTTGTGCTATGTTATATTTTGGTTGGAACTTTGCAGATCTTATTTTCGATGGGTAAGATAGCGACGATGATCTACGGGGGATTGGCTTCGCTTGTTTTCAGTGCATATATCATATATGACACTTCTAAGATAATAAACGCTTACGATATTGAAGATTATGTGTGGGTTATCGTCAAGCTCTATCTCGACATCATCAATCTCTTTCTCTCCATCACTAATCTCTTCAAAGGCTCCAACAAAAATTAGGAATTTGTATAATATATATATTGAGAGAGATGAGATTTGATTGAAGTTTTGATTAGGAAGTTTCTTTATTAGATTTTGTTTTCAAATCTATCACAGGGGCTTGAGGGCTGTATTATGTGAGGATGCACAAAACAGAGAGTTACAGAGAGTTAATTGTAACTTGTTTTTCTCCACATTACATTGAAATCATCCTCTCCCCCGTGAACATTAACATCTTCATCAAATCATATAAATCATCATGTTCTTTATGTTAATTGTGCTTTGATAAGTTATACCATGGGAACAAATGAGAGGTCATTAAGTCAAAATGGACAATATCTCAATGATTAAAAGTTTGAGTTATTACAGTTGCTATCTAAATATGAGGCGAGATGCATATAAAAAATCAACTGTGTTTTGCAAGACCTGATATGCATTTAAAAGGAGCAAATGCTAGCTAGATACATCTAAGCCTCTAAGGCTAAAATATGAGAGTGGGGAATGAAGCGGCTTAGAATGCAATCTACTATAATGGAGATGCTCAGTGTTGTTTGCTAGAATTTTTATGGCATTAGAGAGTAAATTCTCATGAAAATTTTACACACAATAATAAGTTAAAGGTAACTCATACCAAATATTCAGCTCATATGAAACATAAGACCTTCCTATATGAAAAATCATCTTGCAAAGAGAAAAAAAAATCATAGAGCCTAACCTCGTAGAAATTATTTAACTAATGTGAGCAATATATTATGATAAATGCCCTTTTTTTGTTATAGGAGAAGACATTAATTGAATATATTATATATGAACTATGAAAGATAGCTTTCATTGGAAAAATTTGAGGATCCTTTAGGTGTCAAAGCATCAAAGGATGGCTTACATTTGATCATCTCAGTTGCACTCTATATAGTAATGAATACATGGTGATAAAAAAGATGGGTACCAAATATCGATAGTTGACAGGAATCACCATTAATACTCACCCAAGGTCGTTAGTAATAACAGAAGAGATAGCGATGAAATAGTGTAACCCGCAGAGAACCTCCTTCGTCTTATCCAATACCATAAAAAAGAACCCACAAACTTAATCAGCTGCAGATTAAATTACCCTAAATGTCAAAAAAAAAAAAAAAAAAAAAAACACCCCCACCAAGCAAACTCAACTAAAAACAGAGAAACTGAGAGCATGGCTCTCGTGCCAAACTAAAGAATGCCTCTTGTGTCCACATGGATGTTGTTGGTTAGTGAAGGGTCATGGTCCTAGAATTTGTTTAAACAGCTATGGGGGTACTTAGCTGCAGCAAAATATTCAATCATCAACGTGTGAACATGTGTGGGTCATGGAAAACAGAGCAATGAGAACAGCTGGCGACGAACATTGAATTGAAAGATTTTATTTTTGTCCTTATTTTAGAGTTTTTAAGTTCCAGAGATACAAAAAGTGAACATTCGAAGAAAATTAGATAATTTTGAGTGCTAATTATGTAAAATCTCCAAAAATATATTTGTATTTTTCATGTTAATCCAAAATCAACAATAAAATTGCTGGTAGCATTAGAAGTTTCTTATTGTTTTACTGTTGCATCTAAGAAAATTTGCAGCAATAGAGAGTGATGTAGTTTAGGATCTTAGATTTGTACAAAGATCCAGCATACAAACAGATAAATAAGTAAGTTGAGTGTTCATAAGAGACACCAAAGTTTTTAGTTGAAAACCCCTGAAAAGGAGAAAAACCACAGGATCTGGCCCAATTTGAATGAATCAACTAGTATTTTGCAATTAATTACAAATGATTACCTTAAGAGGAAGGTCTTGGCTCGATGCCACAAATATACATCATACATAGTGCATTATATGGTGCGAGTTGGAAGAATCAATGTTGATATGTTCGTTTGGGCGGCAGGATCATAGTCGGCGAGCGATGTAGGTCGGAAGGACCGTAGTTAGATGTCGGTGGTCGGAAGGACGTCGAGCAACGGAGGTCAGGAGGATCATAGTCGGCGGGTGATAGAGGTCAGATAAACTGTAGTCGACGTGCGATTGTGGTCAGATGGACCATAGTTGGTGGGAGACGGATGTCAGAAGGACAGTAGTTGGCAATGGTGGTTGGAAGGACCGTAATTGATCAGCGATGAAGGTCGGTAATGGAACCTAGTGCAGAAGTTGCCAAACAACAGACCCCTGTTTTCCGCAAAACACCCCCGTTGAATGATAGTGCCGGAGTTATACCGTCAGGAAAGGCGAATACTGATCCTAAAGCTTTCAACAAGCCAAAATTCCCTCTTAAAGAAAATCCTTATCCACGGCCGCAGGGACTTAAGTGTTTTCGTTGCTTCCAACCCGGGCATAAGTCCAACGAATGCCCAAATCGTCAGCAACTTCAGTTACTGGACGAAGAGGGGGAGCTTGACCCTGAGCAATTCGAAGAAGAGGAAAATGTTGATGTGGAAGATGTTGTCGGCGATGAAGGGGATCCACTGATTTGTGTATTGGAGAAACTCCTCTTAGTCCCGAGACAACAAGGGGATTCTCAGCGACATGCCATTTTTAAAACCAAATGTACCATTGGCGGCAAGGTTTGCGATTTACTCATCGACAGCGGGTGCACGGAAAATGTCATTTCGCGGGCTGTTGTTCAAGCTTTGCAACTCAAGACTTCAAAGAACCCACATCCCTACAAGATTGGGTGGGTTAAGAAGGGAATGGAGATTTTAGTGACAGATATGTGCCGGGTACAATTCTCAATCGGAAAACATTATAATTGCGAAGTGTTGTGTGATGTGGTGGAGATGGACGTGAGCCATCTAATTCTTGGCCGCCCATGGCAGTTCGATGTTGGTGCTGTATACGATGGCCGAGCCAATACGTATGCACTAGACTGGAAAGGGAAGCGGCTCCGATTGTTACCTCATGCAGCGGGTGTAAAAGGTTCTCCTGATAATGTTCGGCCAGCATTGCATTTGGTCTCGGGCAACTCCTTGCTAGCTCATTGGAAGGAGGAAGTGCCTCTTTTCGCCTTGGTGATCAAAGAAGAGGCCGCTGATAACACAGCTGGGAGTGTTCCGCCTGCCATCGAGTCTCTGCTGAAGCAATTCCACGATGTTCTGACTGAATCCTCGACTCCTGCATTACCGCCTTTGAGGACTATACAGCATCACATTGATTTTATTCCAGGTTCTACACTACCAAACCTGCCACATCATCGCTTAAGTCCGAAAGAGCATCAAATTCTCCAACAGTTAGTTGATGAGTTGCTGAAAAATAACTTGATCCAACCCAGTCTCAGTCCGTGTGCTGTACCCGCACTCTTGGTGCCCAAGAAGGATGGAAGTTGGCGATTATGCGTAGACAGCAGGGCCATTAACAAAATCACTGTGAAGTTTCGGTTTCCTGTACCGCGGATTGAAGAATTGTTGGAGAAGTTGACAGGAGCCTCTATTTTCTCAAAGCTCGATCTCCGTAGCGGGTACCACCAAATCCGCATCCGACCGGGTGACGAGTGGAAGACGGCCTTCAAGACTCGACATGGGTTATACGAGTGGAAGGTGATGCCATTCGGATTGTGTAACGCGCCTTCGACCTTCCTCCGATTAATGAATGAGGTCTTAAAGCCATTCCTCAACGTCTCCTGCGTTGCATATTTCGACGACATACTCGTATTTAGTCCATCTCTGACCGATCATCTGCGGCATTTGACAGAAATCCTTCTTGTACTTCGGGAGAACCAGCTATTTTTGAACCCAAGTAAGTGTGATTTCGCTGTCTCATCTGTTCATTTTCTTGGCTTCATCGTGTCAGCTGCAGGAGTCCAAGTTGACAATCGCAAGGTGCAAGCTATACAGAGTTGGTCAACGCCCAGCTCATTCACGGAAGTTCGCAGTTTTCATGGTCTCGCGAACTTTTATCGCCGGTTTATCAAAAATTTCAGTTCCCTTATGGCTCCTATTACCGATTGCTTGAAACTCAAACAGTTTCATTGGGGCAGCGCTCAGATTGATAGCTTTGCTGCCATAAAGGAAGCTTTATCATCTTCACCGGTGTTGGTCTTACCCAACTTCGATAAGCCATTCCAAGTGGATACGGATGCTTCCGGAGTGGGAATCGGAGCTGTCTTAAGCCAGGAAAACAAGCCGGTAGAGTTCTTCAGCGAAAAACTTTGTCCATCAAGACAAAAATGGAGTGTTTATGAACAAGAACTATATGCGGTGGTGCGGGCATTGAAGCAGTGGGAATCATACTTGCTCCATTCGGAGTTCGTCCTGTGCAGTGACCACCGAGCGCTGCAATTCATAAATCAACAAAAGCACATTAACAGGATGCATGCCCGCTGGATTTTATTTCTTCAACGTTTCACCTTCGTGTTGCAACACAAGTCGGGCGTAAACAACAAAGTTGCGGACGCCTTGAGCCGGAGACCGACGCTGCTCATACAGCTGCAAACCGAAATTACAGGCTTAGAATGCTTAAAAGAGCTTTATGCCTCTGATTCAGATTTCTCTAAAATTTGGGAAGAATGTTCAAATGGAGGTGCTTCACAAGAATTTGCTGTCAGACATGGATTTCTTTTTCGCCATACGCAGCTTTGCATTCCTGAGTCATCGTGGAGGCCGCAGCTCATCAAAGAAGTTCATTGCGGAGGTCTCGCAGCTCATGTGGGACGGAACAACACGTACCTACAGCTGCGAAGTAGATTCTTTTGGCCACATTTGCACAGAGATGTGATGAGATTTGTTGAACGGTGCCCCATTTGCCAAAGCTATAAATCCGGTGGACAGTTAAGTGGCCTGTATCTACCGTTGCCTACACCGACCACTATTTGGGAAGATTTAAGTCTCGATTTCGTATTGGGATTACCACGTACTCGGCGTGGACATGACTCGATCATGGTGGTGGTTGATCGTTTTTCCAAGATGGCCCATTTCATTGCTTGCAAGAAGACGTTCGATGCCTTAAATGTCTCACGTGTTTTTTTTTCGGAGGTAGTTCGTCTGCACGGAGTTCCCCGAAGTTTAACATCCGATCGTGATGTTAAATTCATTAGCAATTTCTGGAAGGAGTTATGGGCAAGACTACACACTGAAATCAAATTAAGCACAGCGAATCATCCCCAGACGGATGGACAGACCGAAGTGGTGAATCGGACACTTGGTAATCTCCTACGCTGTCTTGTGCAGGATCACCCGAAATTGTGGGATGAACTCTTGGGGCAAGCCGAATTCGCTTACAATAGCATGACCAATCGCTCCACAGGGAAGAGTCCCTTTGGCGTGGTTTATACCAAGCACCCGAACCACACTGTTGACGTGGCCGTGCTCCCGCAATGTAACAGCAAGCCAGCCGCCGAATTTGCTGAACAATTTTCTCAGATGATTCAAGAAGTGCGACAGAAGCTTGAAGAGTCCAATTTGAAGTATAAAGAGGCCGCAGACAAGCACCGCAAGAAGCGAGAGTTCAAAGTTGGGGATCTGGTTATGATACGAGTAAGGCGTGAACGCTTCGGTCACGGATCCTACTCCAAATTAAGCCCCGGAAGATTGGACCATTCTCAGTTCTTAGACAGATAAATCCTAACGCCTATGTTGTGGATTTGCCCAGCCATTACAATACGTCCAACACGTTCAATATAGGCGATCTCTCAGCCTATCACCCACCGGATGCGGCTCCTACGAATCTTTCATCTTCAGATTCAGATTCTTCAGTTAGTGGGGGAGAATGATGGGGTGCATCACGTCATCGAGTAGCTTATTTTTTACAATACTACTTAGTTTTCTTAAATATTACTTAGTTATCTTAATCAGCTTTTATTTTATTAGTTATCTTGTGAAGCAGCTTGCAGCTTTCTGTTAGTATTGTTGCTGCTCCACTTCTTTGTTTTCCTTATTTAGGCGTATGGTACTAATCATGTTCTTCATTGTAATCCAGGTATGTATAAACTTTACTAAATGTTTCTCTGTGGATTTTGCGCTATGTTATATTTTGGTTGGAACTTTGCAGATGTTATTTTCCATGGGTAAGATAGCGACGATGATCTACGGCGGATTGGCTTCGCTTGTTTTCAGTGCATATATCATATATGACACTTCTAAGATAATAAACGCTTACGATATTGAAGATTATGTGTGGGTTATCGTCAAGCTCTATCTCGACATCATCAATCTCTTTCTCTCCATCACTAATCTCTTCAAAGGCTCCAACAAAAATTAGGAATTTGTATAATATATATATTGAGAGAGAGAGGAGATTTGATTGAAGTTTTGATTAGGAAGTTTCTTTGTTAGATTTTGTTTTCAAATCTATTAAAGGGGCTTGAGGGCTGTATTATGTGAGGATGCACAAAAAAGAGAGTCAATTGTAACTTGTTTTTCTCCGCATTACAAATCTTGTCCCCGCTGAACACTAACATCTTCGTCAAATCATATAAATCACCATGTTCTTTGTGTTGTGCTTTAATAAGTTCTATCATGGGAATAAAATTGTGAGGTCATTAGGTCAAAGCGGATAATATCTCAATGATTAAAAGTTTAAAGTGTTAAAGTTGCTATCTACAATATAAGGTGAGATACATATCAAAAATCAACTGTGTTTTGCAACACCTTATATGCATTTAAAAGGAGCAAATGCTAGCTAGATACATCTAAGGCTAAAATATGAGTGGGGAACGAAGCTGCTTAGGAATGCAATCTACTATAATGGAGATGCCAGTGTTGTATGCTAGAATTTTTATGGCATTAGAGAGTAAATTCTCTTAGTATTGAATGAAAATTTTACACACAATAATAAGTTAAAGGTAACTCATACGAAATATGCAGCTCATTTGAAACATTTGACCTTTCTATATGAAAAATCAGCTTGCAAAGAGAAAAAAAATCATAGAGCCTAGCCTCATAGAAATGATTTAACTAATGTGAGCAATATATTATCATAAATGCCCTTTTTTAATAATAGGAGAACAGATCAATTGAATATATTAGATATGAACTATGAAAGATAGCTTTCATTGGAAAATTTTGAGGATCCTTTAGGTGTCAAAGTTGCCATCAAAGGATGGCGTACATGTGGTCATCTCGGTTGCACTCTATATAGCAATGAATACATGGTGATAAAAAAGATGGGTGCCAAATATTTATAGTTGACAGAAATCACCATTAATACTCACCCAAGGTCATTAGTAATAACAGTTTTAGGATGTTGTTGGGTTTTTTTTTTTTTTGGAAAATTGAAGGCAGAGCTCATTTCCAATGATAAACAACTATTTACATGTGTAATAGAAAGGAAAAAATCAACCTATAAACGGGAACAAGCAACAACCGATTGAAATAAGAACAACATCAAAAGAAGGTAGATAAATGTGTAAAATTACACAGCAGAAAATTATGTAAAAACACATTCTCCAACCCAAAATATCAAAACTGAATCTTTGGAAGAAAAACGAGCTCAGTATATGAATTGCCAGTTGCGTTTGGGACTTCCCCTGGTTATAGGTGGGGACAAAATGCTTGAATAACTTAGAGTGACTGCCTTCCAAGGGAAAAAATAAGCAATTTGGTCATCCTTGCCCTTCCAAAAACTCCAAAACAAATCATGAAAGCCGACATGGCCAAGGATTAGGCAGCTAGCTGTTCTAGAGAGACGGATCCAGAAAAAACAAAAAGCAGAAGAGATAGCGATGAAGTAGTGTAACCCACAGAGAACCTCCTTCGGCTTATCCCATACCATAAAAAATAACTCACAAACTTAATCAGCTGCAGATAGTAAGTTATGGAAATACTCCCCATCTTTCCATCTAATAATTTTAAGAGAAATAGCTATTGTAATGGTTGCTTTGACAGTGGTTAAGCTACTAATATTGTTTCCAAATTTCCTTGCATTATGCTCCCTCCAGATATGGTAAACAACACCCCAAAGAATAAGCAAGTAGAAATTAAGATTACCCTCTCTTTGATTCATACCAAAGAAAAATGTCTAACACTTTTAGAGTATTTCTCGCAAAAACAACACAAAGAATACACATTAAGATATAGCTCAACTTGACCTATTAGTTGAGAGCTTAAGCTTCCAACTAAAAGGCCTTGGGTTCGAGTCTTTGTGTATGAGTTGTGTGTATGAATTTGATTTAAATTGCCTAAATATCCAAAAAAAAAAAAACACCTCCAACTAAGCAAAGTCAACTAAAAACAGAGAATCTGAGAGCATGGCTCTTGTGCCAAACTAAAGAATGCCTCTTGTGTCCACATGGATGTTGTTGGTTAGTGAAGGGTCATGGTCCTAGAATTTGTTTAAACAGCTATGGGGGTACTTAGCTGCAGCAAAATATTCAATCATCAACGTGTGAACATGTGTGGGTCATGGAAAACAGAGCAATGAGAACAGCTGGCAACGAAGATAGAATTGAAAGATGTTATTTTTGTCCTTATTTTAGAGTTTGTAAGTTCCAGAGATACAAAAAGTGAACATTAGAAGTAAATTAGATAATTTTGAGGGCTATTTATGTAAAATCTCCAAAAATATATTTGTATTTTTCATGTTAATCCAAAATCAATAATAAAATTGCTGGTAGCATTAGAAGTTTCTTATTGTTTTACTGTTGCATCTAAGAAAATTTGCAGCAATAGAGAGTGATGTAGTTTAGGATCTTAGATTTGTACAAAGATCCAGCATACAAACATAAGAGACACCAAAGTTTTTAGGTGAAAACCCCTGAAAAGGAGAAAAACCATAGGATCTGGCCCAATTTGAATGAATCAACTAGTATTTTGCAATTAATTACAAATGATTACCTTAAGAGGAAGGTCTTGGCTCGATGCCACAAATATACATCATACATAGTGCATTATATGGTGCGAGTTGGAAGAATCAATGTTGATATGTTCGTTTGGGCGGCAGGATCATAGTCGGCGAGCGATGTAGGTCGGAAGGACCGTAGTTAGATGTCGGTGGTCGGAAGGATGTCGAGCAACGGAGGTCAGGAGGATCATAGTCGGCGGGTGATAGAAGTCAGATAAACTGTAGTCGACGTGCGATTGTGGTCGGATGGACCATAGTTGGTGGGAGACGGATGTCAGAAGGACAGTAGTTGGCAATGGTGGTTGGAAGGACCGTAATTGATCAGCGATGAAGGTCGAGTGGATTGTAATCAATGGACGACAGTGGTCAAAATGACCGTAGTTGGCAGGAGACGGAGGTCGAAAGGACCATAGTTGGCGGGCGACAAAGGTCAAGAGAATTGTAGTCGGCTGGCGATAGTGGTCGGCTGATCGGAGGAATTCCGATAGTGGTCGGCGGACTGGCAGAAGTCTGACGATGTTTGGGAAAGAACTCCAGCGTTTGTCAAAGTGTATTTATTATCAATTTTGATTGTCTTCTAGAATGAGTTCTTTTGGTCTTTCTTTTCTCTAACGCCTTACTTCTGGAATGAAGTTCTTAGGGAATAAGTCAAAATAGTTCATTACGGACATCCCCCTCCTCAACCCCCAAATGTTGATAGCGAGTTGGGTGCTTGAGAAGGACCAACAGAGGCAGGAAATGCATCCATTCCATCCATGTACGTATCAAAAACTGATGGCTCGCCTACTAAAAGAAAAAGTATGCGAGGCTAGGCTAACTCAGCCGCTTACTTCGACTGTGTTGTAGTGGGCTTTCGTCGCCTTTTCTTCTTTTGAAACGAAATCTCTTTTTTATGACTTCCACTTCTCGATCTCACCGGCCCGGAAAAGTTACCGACCAGGGCCCTATTTATGAATCAACATAGATGCGAAGCTGTCCATTTTTCTTACAGACAAAAACAAGACTGACTATCCATGTTGGATATTGCTCTTCCCTAATGAAACCCACATCAATTCATTTTTTTACTTCATAAATTACGAAAGTCTGGTTGTGGTCAACAGATTGGCAGAGGTCCGACGGTGGTCGGCAGATTGACGGAAGTTTGTTGGTAGTCGGAGGATTGGAGAAAGTCCGTTGATGGCCGGGAAGAACTTTGTTGGTGGCCGGCGAAATGGCGGAAGTCCGGCGGTGGTCGAGAAGAACTTCGGCCATGTTCGAAGGTAAGCAAGCTCCCAAAATTTTCCATTCTCCTCCTCCTTTCCTTCTCCCCTCTCATGAGAAGCATGGGGACTATTTATAATTTTTTGACAGTGGCATTGTTTGTAAATATGTGAAAAATCAAGGTCAAAATAGTTGTGGTTTGAATGGACGGTCGATATTGATCTCCTTGATCGTGGATCATTTAATGATCATTTGAATGCCTTAATTATATCCGAATTTAGTGATCTTGGACTCGTTGGGTTCGCCTCGTCGAGCGAGCCGCTCGATTCGACTATAAGCATGACACATTTGGAAACTGTTTGGTAATTCAAATTATGGTTTGAAGCTTCCAAATGCGCTTTGGGTATTTGATTTGGACTCATTTGGCTCAGATTGAGGTGTCGATGAGTTCGTCTTTTCGAGACGTTCAATTTGACTATAAATTTGTTAAAATCGGAGTTCATATGATCACAGATTTAATTTCGGAAGCTCACCGCTCAATTTTGCTCTAAGATTCGTGCATGTTTAAGATAATTTTTTTGATGATATATTATATATAAACTATATATTTAAAAAAGCAGGCTTATTTTAGTTTTTTAATATCCAGTATTGATCGACCGTTCTCTGTAATAGAAATCGGTCAGTTGCAAGAGAGATTGCAGATCTATATCGTGAGGTAGACAGAGGAAAAGACCATCACAATGGAATTGTTGGCCCCTCAGTTGACGGCAGGGCTCCGAGCCATCATCAAGAAGGAGATGGAGATGCAGTTAAGCGTTCAGGGGAGCGCCAGAGAACTCCAGGAGACTATGGATTTGCTGCGCAGCAAGCTACACGGCCTCAGGAAGGAAAAAATCCGCGACCTCGACATCCGCAAATGGATCGACACTCTCGAGAACATCATGTACGAAGCCGACGACGTTCTCGACGAGTGCCACTTTCGCGACTCCGAGCTCCTCCTCCTCTCCACCCCTCCCTCGCCGGCGTCCGGTAACGCCTCGGTCCCCGTTTGGCGTGACTTGCCCCTCATCCTCACCTACGTAACCCGTCCCTACCAATTCTACTTCAAGCAGTTCAGCTCTAATCGTGACATGAGCCTCAAACTTCAATCTCTGAACTCCAGGCTGAAGATGCTTAAGACTCAAAGGGATGAGAAACTTGATCTGCACTTATTGGATAATTCTCAATACATCCCACCTGTTACCGATCCTGAAGCTTATAATATGCCTAGTATGGCTTCTTCCTCCGATGTTGTGGGGGCTAAGCTCCGCAAAGATACTGACTTTATGGTGAGGCTGTTAACTGATCATCATGGAAAAGACGACTTGCCCGTCTACGCAATAGTCGGACCTGGAGGCATTGGCAAAACTACAATGGCGAACCTTATCTTTGAGTTGCTTTGTGATAAGAAGCAAGGATTTTTCGATTGGATCATCCGCATCACAGTGCCTCGTAAGTTCGATAAGCTCAACCTGCTGAAAGGAATCATCACGGCCGCCGGTGGGCGGTGTGCTGAACGAGATCTCCTGCTTTTAGACGAGGCAGTCAAGGAGGCAATCAAGGGGAAAAAAATGCTCCTTTTGCTTGATGACGTGTGGGACGCCATGGGTCTATGGAATCTCTGGCTCGGCGTCCTGTTTAGTAGCAGCTGCGCGCCGGGGAGTCGAGTTCTTATCACCACAAGGAACCGAGACGCGGCGGATCAGATGAAGGCGATCTACTCCCATTCAGTCCAGCGCTTAACTGGCGACGAAGGATGGGAGCTGCTCTGCAGGTGCGTCGGCTCTGCTCCAGAAGCGGACCATATGAAGATTCTTAAGAATACAGGGCTTCAGATTGTGGAGAAATGCTATGGCAATCCCTTGGCGATCATGTCCATGGGAGGCATGCTGTGTTTGGAGAACAAAGCGAGGGTTACTTGGGAGAGGATTCTGGAAGACGACGACAACATATGGTCCAAAGGTCTTTTGAACCTTCCTGACGGAATTCATAAGGACATATACTGCGCATTCGACAAACTGCCTTCAGCTGAACTGCGGCATTGCTTCGTCTACTGTTCTCTGTTTCCGGATGGTTATGAGATCCCCTACTCAGATCTCATTGAGATGTTGGTCGCGGAAGGGATCGTGGAAGACGATGAGGCTGCCTTGAGTTGCCTCATGCATCTGATACGGAGGAACATTCTCATTCCGCGGATCGCGCCGGAGTTCACCCGCACGTGCAAGATGGACGGCCTGTCGTGTTCTCTCGGCCGTTTCATTATGCAAGGCGGCGGATTCGTTATTACGCAAACGCTTCCTCTGCCGCCGCTGCCTCGTTTGCCGGTCATTAACTACAAGAACAAGCTTCGCCGCCTTTCTTTGGTGATTCACGAAGGAAATACTGATAAAGCGAGGACAATGGACTTCGAATACAAAATTCACGACTACTTGAAGAAGCAGCCTTCGCTGAGGACGCTCCTGCTCTTCAACCATCCTCTTCCGAGGGCAGGGCAGCTTCTCCATCATCTGCCCAGCATCAGGCTGCTAAGCCTTAAAAAAGCTGCAATCTTTGAGCTTCCCGAGTCCATTGGATGCCTTGTGCACTTGCGATTCCTGGACCTCTCGGAGAACGAAAAGATGAAAAGTTTACCAGAAAGCATCGGCAAGCTCGCAAACCTGAAGTCTCTGCGCCTCCAATCATGCAGAGAACTTTCCCATCTTCCCAAAAGCTTTCTAAACCTGAAGAATCTCATGTATTTCGACGCCTGGGAGACCAGGCTCGAAGGTTTGCCCGAGGGCATGGGAAAGGAAATGCCTGAGCTTCGAAAGATAATCCCCCTGCGACCGCACGAGGAAGGGAAGAAACTTGCAACCGTGCAAGATCTTAAAGATATGAAAATGCTAAGGTAAGGATGCTTAATTGCTTTAACCATCCTTCAAACTATTAATCAAGTTAGTTACTAAAGATTTGCCCTCGAAAAACAGGTCCTTGGAGTTGGAGATATCCGGGAATGTATTAGGCGGGTTGCCGAAAGGTGCAGAGCTGGTGAGGAACGTTGGCATTCTGGAAAGCAAAAGATATATGAGGGAGCTCGTGCTCAGATGGAAACCTGAGGAAGCAGCGAGCAAGAATAAACAAGACCTAAGGAACTTCCTTTTTGAGGTTAGCGACAAGCTTTCTCCTCCCGAAGAATTGGAGGACCTCAGAATCATTTACTACTATGGATCCAGCCTCCCGAGCTGGTTGTCATTAGCAGCCAGGCTTCCCAACCTGAGGAGTCTGCAACTTGAAGGCTGCTTGAACCTGAAAGTGATTTCCGGGTTGGGTCAGCTGCCATGTCTGGAGCACTTACTCGTAAAACAAGCACCGAAAGTGACGAGCGTGGGGAAACATTTCCTCAGGAAAACAATGCAGGGGGAGGAAGAAGAATCGTCGTCGTTTTCCTGTAGCATCTCGTCATTTCCCAAATTGAAAGCTCTCCACTTTGAAGACATGGCTGAGTGGGAGAAATGGGAGTGGCCGACGATAGAAAGCATGGCGTCAATGGAATTCCCCTATCTGCATACACTTAACATCAGCAATTGTCCCAAGCTGAAATCCATACCTGAGGGGTTCTTATGCCGTTTAAAGATGTTGAGGCAGCTTATAATTGATGAATCTCCTGAGCTCAGGCTGGAGGGCTTGGAGAGCTTCCCCTCATTTCTTGAGATTAAGATTGATTCACAGGTGATCCAACGCACTTCTTGATCCAATTCCAAATCCATTTCCCTTCTTTCAGTTCACTGTTTTTATTTTATCATTCTTTCCTGCAATTAGAAATAGGTCTTTGTTAGGTAGAAACTCTTTCCCTTGCAATACTTTTTATTAGACAATCTCGGAACGAAAATGTATTGTTCAAGTTAGTAAATTTTCAAATTCATTTCTAGAATGTATAATATCAAAAAGAATGTGAATCTTTTCTTTTCTTTTTTAACAAAAAACCAGCAAATATATTAAAATAGGAATGATACAAAAGAAGACCCCACACAGGGCCACATCACAAGCTTACAGGAAGAACATCAAAACCAAAGAAAAGACCAGTATGATTAGGGGTAGAAATCTACGGACTCAGACCAGCTTCGAGTTGTCAGGGCTTGGCCATCCACTGGTAAAACACAAAATTGAAGGGCAAACCAGGTTGCCAACCAACCCTGGCCATCCACGACGCTTGCGGCCTCGCTGCTTCCTCATCGTCCATATCAAAATTATAAGAACGGGCAGCCCGCCAACCACAAATGCAAACCAACAGTAGAGCATCAATAAGATCCACATCCCAAAACAACACATAATGGCAATTAAAACAAAACCATTGCAGCAACCAACAATCAGCGACCACGCCTGCCCCTCCCACGAGACCTACCACGAGAAGCAGCAGATACCAATGGTTTATCGTGCAACAAATTGAAAGAATTACCAGGATCTCCATCTCCAATAGATTTCACAGAATTAGATTCAGAACTGTAATCATGAAGTCAGTCCATGTGGACTCTAAGATCAATGCCCGAATTATCCTTCACAGTATAATTTAATCCTTTAAGATCCATATAAGTCACTGGGGCATCCACAAAATCATTATTCCCTAAGCGAACATTATGAATGGGACTAGAGTTACCAGAAGCAGCCACATTACACACTTCCTCACCCAAATTATCCACGACAGCAGGCATAATCTGGCCAACCAACTCCTCAGAATTTAAAGACTGACCAACCAAAACAGAAGGGGCAGACCTCACAGACACCAAAGGAGCCTCACGAGGAAGGCCCTCAATGCTATGACAAATTAACACGAATGGAAGTCAAATTCATCCCACAAGGAGTAAAAGGTTGAGCGTCTGAGAATAAAATAGCAGCAAACTCAACACCATTAGCATCTCCACCCACCTCAGTTTCCACTGCAATTTCCACAACTTCTAAACCGACCAAAATAGGGGAATCACAAACAGGCACAGGGCTCACCACCTGATTAGAGCAGAAAGGAGAAAGAGGAGCACAAACAATACCACCTAAACTATCAATATCATTATTCATAGCCAAATTGCCACTATCTGAACTCAATATCGCAGGAACAACAGGAGGTACAGCAGCAGGTAAGTTACATTCCAAAGAAATAGGAGCCACCTCAACACCAGGCGTCACAACCACACGAGGTTGAAGGGAAGGGCAATCAAATTTTGAGTGATCCAGAGACTTGCAATGAGAGCAATAAGCAGGAAAGGCATCCATAATAATCGATTGGATGTAGCCTAAGCTCTCGAAACCTAACCAGATGTTGTCAGGATACACCTTGGTAATATCCAATTCCACCAACACTCGAGCTATCGAAGGACGCCGACCAGAGGAGGTAGCCTGATCAATTTTTAATGGCTTACCAAACATGGAGCCATGACCAAATAAAATTCTCGGTGCAAAACGGTGCAGCCGTAGGTTAGGAAAGGAAACCCATATAGGGATAGAAGGGGATTCAACATCAATGTCAAATGTATAGGACCATTTGAAAATCTTCATGAAACTCTTATTCACAAAACAAGAGCGATGGGGAAAAACACGACAGTAATCCAAGTCGTTTTCCAATTTAATAAGAATATGCTTAGAGTTAAGAACAGTGATAGAGAAAACATCATTAAGCTTGAGATTAAAAAAAAATGTGAATAGCTTCCAAAGACGGGCGATAAGCCGGAAATTTACCGACAAGCGCAAACTCAAAAGAGGAAGCAAGGGCAAGCACTTCCTCATCTGAAATCCACAGTGAAGGAAGTCCCGGAAAGACGAAACCTTTAGATCAGGGAAAGAGAATTTCGAAACAGTAGAGCCCGCAAGGGCCTCACGGAAAGACCGAGAAGAAGACGAACCAGATAAAAAACCATGATCCAATAGCCTTTTACCCTCCATTACTAACAAAAACACTGAGAAACGAGAAAAAAAGAAGAAGAAATCTTCCGTGAAACGATCGGAGAACCTCGCAGCGAAGGAAGAAACGGCTCCAAACTCCAAACCCTAGCAGAGCGAAAAAAACATAGCGAAACTCAAAAAGAATGTGAATATGATCCACTAATTTCGCATAATTAAATAGTCATTTTTTATAGAGTTTCCCTTGCAATAATTAAATAATCATTTTTTATATTCCACAGCTCCTTCGCGTGTGCTCCTTTGTTACATGTTTATGAACTAATATAGAATAAAATTGAAAATTTTTAAAATAACTATAAAACTTTTAGCTCTAATTATTTATTCTAATTCATATTTAACCAAAAATGGTATTGATCGAGCATGAATATCAAGGTATATTTAAGTTGGGAACTTTCAAAATTTAATGTGAGATCATCTTAGCTCTAATTTCAACAAATTTATAACTAAATTGAATGTATTAATGAGATGAACCAAACGATATCAAAATTGGTCTAATCTGAATCCAAATTAGCCCAAATCAAAGGGCTGAAACATATTTGAAAGCTTCAAAATATAAATTGAATGATTAAATGATTTTCAAATATAACATATTTATAATCAAATTGAGTTGCATCATGAGACTAATCCAACGAGCCTAAGATTGCTTAATTCGAACATCATAAAGCATTTAAATGCTGCATGAACACTATATGATTGAAAGAATTGATATGAGTCGTACGATGGTGCACTCCGAATTTGCCATGGTTATTCTCCATATTTGCGAAGCATGTCGCTCTAAAAAATTTATAAATAGATGATCACTTCCCACATGAAAGGGAATTTGGACTTTTAGAAACTTGGACCTTGGGCTAGAAATCAAAAGATATATAAAGTTTGAAGAATCGTTGTGCTCCACAGTGGAGTAATAAATAGGCAAATAGTGTTGTACTGTAGCTATAGCTTAATTTAAGGAAAAAAAAAAAGCTTACTACAGCCCTTTATTTTTTTAGATTAAAATTTAATAAAAATAATAATTACTTAATTTAAAAAAATCCTAAAATAATTCATGCTAGCTCGCGAGCTCACGAGTCGAGCCACATCAAGCTCGAACTCGAGTTCGTTTACTAAATGAGCTCGAGCTCGACTCATGAGCTCGATAAGCTCTGCTCGCAAGCCCATAAATGTATCGAGCTCGAGCCGGCTCGGCTCACTTACACCCTTAGCTACACCCGAACATCAATGCCAGCAAGAGAAGAAATTTTTAAAATAGAGGATTTTTTTTTTTTTTTTTTGGCAAGAGAGGGAGAGGAGAGAAATTTCAGCCTTAGTAATTTGCAGATATGGTTCTCTAGCTATTTTAAAATTTTGAATTTTATGAATACTTTGAATTCAACTAAATTTGGCCAAGAAATTTTTGGAATGATTTCAAAATACAATTAATATGACAAGGATTAAATCGATGTTACTAATGGTATTATCTAACAATAATAAAGCATTTTGTTATAATGTTTATCGTTATAGGCAAATTCATCCAATAAATTACCCAAATCAAAACTAAAAGTTAAATTCAAAAGAAGTGCTACTAAGCTTAATCATCTTCCACCTAAACTCTTAAAAAAAATAATCTACAAAGGTATCTTCCCTATCCCAATATACAATATGGCAGAGATGGAATTGGAGGAGCAGCTGATGAAAATCACCTCAGCATAAAAGGCATCTCAAGACTGGGATGAGAGTTTGAATGAGAGAATGGTAAGATAGGATCAAGTTTTGGGAGTACAGTAAGACAAGCACATTCGATCACAGAATCTCAGGCAGAAGATTGAATAAGAATAGGCATATAGTTTGAGAATGCTACTAGAATTATGTTAGCCTGTATATGTAGAAACATATTGATTCTCATATTTTTTTTCGAGGTAGTTATGAATAGATAAGTGAACTGGGTCCACCTGTCTCAGTTAGTTGGCGTAGGAAGATTAGAACTGCCTATTAATATCACTTCTTTAGTCCTTGACACTCAACTTGTGGATCCAATACGTTTATAGAGAAATCAATCCTTAGAATTGTTATGCAAATGACATGGAACTGAGTTAATTGAGCTTCATGAAAAATAACTAAATAGAGGTTGTCTATGTATGGGTTTAAATCAGTCTAAGTGTGTAAAATTACAATATTATATTTTATGGCATGAAGACTCATGATTGTCTTACTTTTACATAAAGATTATTATCACATGTTTTTTATGTCTTAATATCTAAGTTAATTTGAGATACATCAATTGAGTTGAGTTATTCTCTTTTTATATTTATTATACTACATTATATATCCATCTTCTAAGAGTGATAGAGATAAATATCATCAAAACTATCTTAAAGTTTAAGAAAATTTTTCATATTTGACTCTATGGAACACTTGTTAATTAACCTAGCTAGCCCACAAGACAATTGTTGGAGGATCAATATTGTCTTCATGCATGACTCCTTTTGTAAGGTAAAGGTCAATTTAAATAGTTAAAACCTTAGCCCTTCATTTTATTATGACACAAGTAAATTTTGTCTTGAATGTTAAAGGGCCAATTTGCAAGGCTTATGTGGTTGAAGAGATGTCTACGTTATGCACAGTGTACTTTAAGTCACATGTGAACGTAAAATAAAATCAAGTGCTAACAAATAATGAACGAGGGCAATTAGGCCCTCAAGAGCCACTATTAGTTTACACCTATATAGTCTGGAAAGTCATTACATGCACATAAAATGTTTGTTCTTGCATTAATTAGTCACAAAATATTTTTGATGAGCAAATTAGCAACCGGCGTTGCAAGACGCTAGGGACTCATTACTTGATGTTTGTGATATATTTGCAATTGTTTAACCCGTCACAAATGGATTGTATTCCAGAAATAGATGAAATTTTATAACATATACATCACTCAATATCGAAGAGAAATATTATTTGAAAAATATTGAAATTGTTTGAAAAAAAAAAATCGTGCAACTATTTTGTTCCAACATTTGTAATA